AGTACCGAATGAATGAAAAGTGAGGGAGAGATTATACGGTCAATTGCTTAGGACACTTCTCCTACATGCAACTAAGGCTTAGAACACTTGTCATACATGCAAACTTCTTCTTAAGCCTCATAAAGCCACGTTTAAGACCACTTAAAAACATGAGAAAAATTGGACAATATCCCCCTAATTCTTCATTAAAAACGCACGGCATTTTAAAATGCTAATGATGATTAATTTTGATTAATCACCAATTAAGGCTTAATCACTTAATTAAGCATAACACTTAATTACCAAAATTATTTCGAACGTAAACGGTACGTCGAAAATAATTTCCGGTAATTTCGACTGAACTGACTGAAAATAATTAATCCCGAAAATTAATATCGGAACTAAAAATATAATTTATACTGAAATTGAGGGGATATCGCTGACTGAATAATTAATTCCGGACTCATTAACTAATTAAATGAATCGGAATTAAATCTGGAAACCTATTCGGTTACTAAAATAAGTAAACCGAATAACTTATCGACTAATAGTCGAACATAGAATCTGACTAGCTGATTAACTCGGACTTGAACATGAACATGAATATTTTATTAATAAAGGCTAGCTTAAAACTAAAAGCTAGTATTTTCCTTTATTAATAAAATACGAGGCGTTACAAACCGAGTTTCAAGTATTTTCAACAAGAGACCAATATGGTTTATACAAATTTCAGCAGAAATATTTAAATAAGCATTTACCCAAGCAAATGGATTCAAAAAATTATAAAATTTTAACACGAGATCAACACTTTGCTGGAACACGCCGACGAGGCGGTCCTACCCACGGATCGATATCGGATACCAAACATGTACATACATGATTTCGAATACACCTAAGCATGCTCCTAAAGGACGAACAGAGATATACCTTTCTTCAAGGCTTCGATTCGATCTGAGCGATCTTCTAGTCTGTGTTCCGACCACGTTTGGACGCCGGATGAACGACGATCCTCCAAACGGTTGAAAGGAGCGGATTGCCTTTGTTCTTCTCTGAACCCCTCACGTTCCCTTCTTCCTTCTCCCACGTTGGTGTAGTGGCTGAAGACGTGAACTGATGTAACACCCCAAACTCATGTCATTCATTTTATGCTTAAGTATTATTTTTCATGGATATTATTTATGATTAATTTAATGATTTATAATGTTATTTTTATTTTTATTGTAAGCTCGATTTTATGTGATAATTAAGTGAGTGTCCACACTTATTTAATTATCAAGTTAATGATTAAAAGGGAATTATTTAGATGTCCTCATCTATTTAATTTTTCTAAGTATTAAATGCAATTATGTTAATATAATTTTAATTATGAAATGACTTAATTTAATTAATATAATTTTAATTTTAATTTATTAATGAAGATAATAAATATTAAGATGATAAATTGAGCTCAAATAACAAACTAATTTTCCCAAGCCAGATAAAAAGCTCGAGACTTACGATGTTTTTAATCCCTCATCCAAGCAAGTAAGAATCCTAGTCAATCTCAATTTCCTAGTCCCAATATTCAAGACATCTTGTTAAATACGGTACCAAAATCCCATTCCCTCACATCTCTCTATTCATCTCTCTCGGCAGTCTCTCTCTCTCTCTCACCTTCTTCTTCTTCATCTTTACCGATCATCATCACAGTCTT